GCGCGAGAATAAAATTGGCAGCACGAAGTATGGCCTCTGTTCCAGATTCACGGACATGTAGAACGTGTTCATCATCAGATAGGCAAGCGGAAGATTCGAAGTCAAGTGTTGGCAGTTTCCTCTAGGCAGCTACAAGATTATGCAACAGATAGTAAAAATTGTCATAGTGCTTTGGATAGGAGTCGTGATTATAAGCAGCCAGTAGTCTTTTAGTTAAACACTTCATATTGATCATCTCCCACTAGTGCACTTGCCTACATCCATTTGCTGCTGAACTGGAAATATGGCATGTGAAGAAATGAGGGCATAGATGTCTTTCTTTGAATACACTAGTCTGTTACTAGTCACTAGTACTATTTTTGCATGGAAAAACTGAATTGAGTGCTATTTGACATGTTCATTTTCACTGGTGTTACTTTTCTTAAAAAAGGAAAACAGACTTGATTTGTGCAGCCTATCTTGCCGGACCTAACAAAGATGCATGTGATTACCATGCGAATGAGAAGAGGACCGGAACTACGTAATAATTAAGGGGCTTAGAGAGGAAACCTAGTTTTTCTCTTAACTTCTCTTCTTCAGCCCTCAAGGCCTTGTATATTTCCGGGTTGCGAAATCTGTTGTACATCGCTCCGTCTTTGTCTCTGGGGATATACGGCTCGCAGATCGGGGAGCTCGGTGCAGAGGAGACCACCTCTTCCTCCTCCTCCAATCTGACCAGATTTCTCTTCTTAGCGTCCTCATCCTCCTCATCGGGGATCCTCGATTGTGTGGTACCGGCCCCGAGTGCGGGAGATGTTGGCCCGGGTTCCTGACGAGTCCGCGGCGGCGGCCGCCGTCGCTTTCTTGCGCTCGACATGGACCCAGACGCCCCTCCCTCTTGTTTAGGGATAACGTACTTCTTTCTTCTAGCCCCGCTCGACATGGTGGGCAGCAAATTAGGACGAGATGACCGGCGACGCTCGGGCGCCGCCGCCATCGGGCAGAAACTTGGTGTTTTGATCGTGGGAAGGAGAGCGGCGCGGCAGCAGCGGCGTCGGTTCGTGCACTCTTTTTTTTCAGCACTGCTATACAGACGACAGTAGGTAGACGATTATTGAACGACAATCCATTTAAGCCGTCCATGCATGGCAGTTCTGTCTGCAAACCGCTGGATGGACCATCGTGCAAGGATCGTTCACCCTATATGTACGTGTGTACAGCAGTTTCGCTTTTTTTTAAGGAAATAGCGCACCTTTGATGTCCCAGGGAATGACATGTCACGGTTCAGTACTTGAGATGAATAGAAAAATACTCGAGGGGAGGTCAATACTCAACAGCATAGGAAACCTCCATCCGACGCAGGAGGTCGGTGGTGATTTTTGGCTGTTATTAGAGTTATTAAACACGACTTTGCGTGTCCATATCCGATTCCAAACATGTGTATGTGTTCGTGTAGGTTTCAAAGCAATCACCCTCGCACCCTGCACCCTTGTAAAGAGCCTTTGCTCGCGTACTGCTCCTGCTCGAGCCAGCTTGTGGCAGGAACCAAGACATCCAGCGTAGCTTCGTCGTCTTCATCATCAGAGCCGCCTTGCCGGAAATTGCTCAGGCGTCGGCGTGCGGGCCGGCTGTGCTAACAGGGACAAGAGCAAGCCAAGAAGTCAGGTGAGAAGCAAAGTCACCGCCACATATGTCTCTTCTCGCGCAGGGGCGGAGACAGGGGGTGCGAGCAGGGGTCAGACACCCCCTCGCCTCGCCGCTGCTGTTCGAGGAATCCCTCTGTGCTCGTGGGGATTCCTCACGCACTTCAGTTTCGTCAGTGTAAGAAGAAGCAATAGGAGAGAAGCAGGTCGTATGTTCATGTATCTGTCGAGTGTTACAAATGTACAGAGAAGAGGAGGATGCAGGTGCGGCTACTACGCTAACAAACTCCGTAACAAACTCATCTAGATAAGCTCGTGCGATCATGCATTAGAGACTAGGACTGGTAGTTACGGAGAGAGAGAGCTACGTTGGTTCAGTTTCAACGGGTTCACAAAATTCAGTTTGTTGGTTTCGCCCAAGTTTCAGTTGTTAGCTAATTTCTCGCGCACGTCGTCCACTTCGTCCCATCAGTCATGCACGTACCCTACCTCGCCGCTGCACTCGCACACATCGACGCCGGTAGTTGTTGGCCGGTCCAGTCAGTCTGACTCGGGCTTCGTCAGCATCGGTCCGGTCCCCCAAAACAGGACCGCTCGCCTCCTCGGTCCGGTCCGGTCCGGCCCGCCGGCGGCCGGTCCAAACGACGGCTCGGATCGGGACCAGACCGTGTCCACCCTGAATTGTACGCACACATCAGAAAAAATGGATTATGTGCAGCCGTTGGATCAAGGAGGAAAATTTCCTATCCTTCCCGTAATTACATTTGTGGCTTCTAGGTCTGGTGGGTCCGGACGGAAGTCCCTGCGCCGCCGCCCGTCGCCTCTCGCCGCTATCCGCCGTTATCGAGGTTGAGCCGCAGAGGGCAGTCCAGTACTCCACTCCAGCAGTATTGAATCCACGAGGGACATAGCTGCTTGTCTGCTTCACCGGCCGCCATCATACATCAGCAGGTTAACTTCAAGGAATTAAGGTCCGTCACTATTGAATCTTTATGAATCACGATTATTCATTCTTTGAACTAAAGTTAAGTTACTAATTAGATGCAGTAAGATTGTGATTTAGAAATCTAATTTCACTTATTGCTTAATGTTTCAATAATTGAAGGGTGAGGAAGAAGAATAAACTAAAAAATAGATTCGGTTTTCAAGCGGCTCAAATATTACTAAACATGCAAATCCACTTGAGGATCAACCTATGGTAGATGATAGTTCTGATCCCAATGCAGTTGCTATGCAAACAAATGATCAGCATACTGTGGCATCAGTAGACATTTCAGGGCTAAGTAGAATTGGAAGCACAAGATATAAGAGGAATCTTGGCCCAGCTTCGAGATATTGTGCTTCTAGAACGATTATTATCTTGCTCGCCCCCCTCATGCCCAAATCCTGGCTCCGCCCCTGTTCTCGTGTACATGCGACTTCCTTCCCATTTTCCTTTTCTTCTATTGGCTCGATTCAGATTCTGATACGAGATCTGTTGTTTTAAGTTGCAGCGATTGGGATGGATTGATTATTATTCTGAATGTCTTAATATTATTTTGCCATGGACTCGTCGGATCTTAGTTAGGCTATTTGTCGATTTCGGCTGCACCTTTTTCTTTTATAGTAAAAGAATTCCTGATCCGATTTCATTAGCGATTCCAGTTGCACAAGGAGTAGGATTATAGAATACAATCAATACAAACTGATTTTGATTTATATCGTACTCGAATTTGAATTGCAGGGCTACATAAAAACCATCAATAGGCACTTCGAGAAATTCAAATTGCATGACTACATAAAAACCATTGAGCAGGCGGTTTCAGTGCAAGAAGCCAATGGGGAAGAAAAAAATCATGCTAAAACGGCGGCCTATTGAGAAGCCACAACACCTTTATTTTGTCCTGAATGACTGGTCATGGGGATACAATATTCGAAAGATCGATTTGACATTTGGCGACGAGCGGAAAGGTGCCATCTGCACGAGCGAGCATATATTACCATCTGCCATGTTTTGCTTGCAGGGACGTCGTGGCGAGCCTAAAGCCATCATGGATGCTTTTGACAACATGATTTTGGCTATGCCACCCTTGGACCACATACATGGGGTGAACAGTTTGGGTCTACACTGTGGTGCCGTAATTGACACTCATGCGCGGACCTTCATTAATGGACCATGGCAGGACACATCGCTGGATATAGTCAACCCAATCTGCATTCCTGTTGGTGGCAGGCTCTTTTTCCTTGGTGATAGCTCCTCCCGGATGCTCTACCAGGCATGTGATGATGTCTACTTCTACAACTTCGTGTGGGCGTGATCGGAGCTCCCCAAGCTAATCTTTCGGTGTCAACTTGTCACATCCTATGCCGTGCACCCAGATGAGAGCACCATCTTCATTAGCGGGTCGTTCGACGGCCCTAGTCTACCACCTTCAGCATTAACACAACCGATCCCGCCACCATCAGCTTAGAGGAGCATGTGAACCCTCAGTGGAAGCAACATGGTATGTGGCAGTTGCCCTTCACCGGACGTGGTTACTTTGATCCTGAGTTGGACGCTTGGGTTGGGCTTTCCGCACAGCTGGACACTATTGGCCACATCTGCTCATGTGATGTGGTGTCTACCAACTCCGGCACAAGCCATCAGCAGTGCCCAGCCATGAAGGTCGGCAAGGAGAACTTGTTCAGCGAGTTCCCAGACGAGAGGCACATAGGTGCCACCCTAGTCTATACGGGTGGTGAGAGCAAACTCTGCCTCCTGGAGGTCATCTACATGCAAGCTGACTCGGCTGACAAGCCAACTGAATCTGATGAGAAGAATGAGGACTTCGACGATGGGTTGAATAACACTTATTCCAATGAGACGACTGTTGGCGAGGCGGCTGATTCTGATGAGATGAATGAGTACTCTGCTGATGAGGTGGACGAGGAGCAAGATCATAAACGATTTTTGCGATTGACGACCTTTTCACTTAGGTATGATAGGAATGGAGACCTGAGAACTGGCAATAGCCGGCGCGTTCGGTACTATAGTTTGCCCCAAGAAGTTAATGACTCGATGCTTGAGTATCCCGTGGCATTTTGGATGTAATTAGGAACCATGAATTTGCATATTGCGTCACATAATATGGGCATGATATGCGTCATGTAATTATCACTTGCATGAACAACAGACCATGGGTGGAGATTTAAGGCCGATGTTATTTATGTAGTCACTCAAAAAAATATTACCATGTATTTTGCTTAGCCTTTCTGTATGAAAATAATCTGCCTTCTGGACTTTTCATCTATAAGCATGGGATTGTGCACATGTTTGTTGCCCCTTAATGGCCTCATGGTGTCTACCGCTCAAACGCTTGGGGGTGATGACAACAGCGGCGACGAGGCGAGCACCTGCCCTCACACATCTCCAGTCAGTGAGGCGACCTGCGGTGCACGTGCTCAACGGGGAGCACAATGACCCAATCTTTTGGTGCGAAGTTCATAGTACTCACCTTAGCCTTGCATTCTTTTGACTCCTCATAGTGAATGAAAACAACACTGTTGCCTTCCCTAAAAAATGGCACTTTCCGAATCCACAAATAACCATAACACGATGCTAACAAAAATGATGCACATTTTTAGCAACTTACAGCCAAGTCTGTCCACTATAACTTACTGGTAACAAATATTATAAGATCTACAACAGACGCATATGAAAACATAAGCAAGACATGCACCATTACCACTGACCAAAGCAGAATAGGCTTTACAAATATTATGAGATTTATTACAACAGACGCTTACAAAAACATGAGTGAGACATGCACCGTTACCCCTGACTAAAGCTGTATAACAAACTTATTCAAAAAAAAATCTGCATAACAGAAATCCCATGCCAATACATGGCATACTTGCCTTGAACGTTGAAACAAAATATGTCAAGTCAACTAAGACATTCAATACTTGGACAGCTTTCTGTACTTTCAGATATGCATCATCTTCTTCATAACCTTTTGTTGCATGGCATCAATGCAACTCAAGAAAGCACATCGCCACAGCTTCCAAAGAAATAACGTACCAAACCATAACCACAAACCAAAAACCGTTCCAGCAATCACTGAGTAGTACATCCAAATGGTTTCAAGTTCTTCATGTTGTTCCATTCCCCTATCCGAGTCATTTTTACATGAAATGTTCAACAGAGAGCCACAAAGTCCCATGTTGTTGCTATAAATTGACGGATCATCCAATGTTTGGAGTTGATTGCCTGTAGGTATCTCCCCGGATAGAAGGTTGTTCGAGAGATTAAGAGAGCTGAGGAATATCAAGTTCGATATGCTAGGAGGAATAGGGCCTGATAGTTTGTTCCACGAGATGTCAAGGGATTCTAACAACTTCAGATTGCCAATATCCTTCGGGATACCACCAGATAGATGATTTCTTGACATATTTAGAAACTGGATGCCTCTAAGATTTGTCAACTCTAAAGGGATTTCACCAGATAGAGAATTGCTGGAGAGATCAATACCAGTCACAAATGCATCTCTTCCCTTAAATGTATGCTCCCGTCCCTTCCAAACTATGTCCGTGCTGCCATTGTAAAAATATCCAAAGGTGGTAGATCGTATGTTGATTGTTAGAACCGGCTGCAACATGTCTGACTGTCTCATTGAAGGAAAATATGCAAAACTTCCTGGTATGGTCCCTACGAATTTATTTTCAGCCAGATCAAGTAATTGCAGATGGGAGAGCTGTGATAGCTGCCAAGGAATACTTCCATAGAACATATTTGATCGCAGTCTAAGGATCCTCAGCAGATGATTGCTTTCCCCTATCCACGGAGGAATTGCACCAGAAATCTCATTGTTCCCGAGATCTAAAATAACAAGGCTTTTGAAGTTCTTCATCACTGCTGGAAAGCAACCTGTGAACTTGTTGTTCGACAACTGCAGCAATCTTAGTGAAGTATTGTAGTAAGTTGAGGTTGGAACTTCTCCAGAAAAAGCATTGCTTGACAAATCCAAGGATTGTAAATCTTTCAAGTTCCACAAGCAACCAGGAAACTGTCCAATTAACTTATTATTTGATAGACCCAAGAGTCGCAAATGTTTTAGTTGACAAAAGGCAGACAATGGTTCTGACAAGAAGCTGCTATTCCCAGCCACCTTAAGAACTGCCAACTTCCTGCTATCAAGATTAGGAATGATACCTGTAAACTTGTTGCTAGACAAGTCAAGGACAACAAGATTTACCAACAACGCGATGGCTGCAGTAAGCTCGCCCCCAAGATGGTTGAAGCTGATGTCAAGGAATTTCAAAGATGTCGCATTACCGATATCTGGCGGTATTGTTCCAGTTATGTGATTCTTGTACAAGGACAATAGCTGCAAGTTCCGCATGCTTCCCATCTCCACTGGGATCGAGCCAATAAAATTGTTGTTGTACAGGGCGAGAAAAACAAGGTCCTTCCACTTGCTGATCTGTGGGAGGATGCTTCCGGTCAACCAGTTGTTGGATACATCAAAAACCTTCATCTTGGTCCAGTTTGTAGAAATCTCTTGTGGAATGGTACCATTGATTCTGTTGTTCCCTATGTCAAAATAGTGCAAATTCCGCAGTCTGCCATAAGATGGTGGCACGCTTCCAAACAAATGATTCCCTTCCAGTACCATGTGTTCAAGACTGGTAAGATTCCCCAGCTCGGGCGGAAGACTAGAAATCAAATCAGTGTTTCCAATGTTAAGCCGCTGTAGCAACTGAAGCTCCCCAAGTGAGGTTGGGATCGACCCACCAAGTGAGTTGTTGTACAGCGAAAGTATTCTCAATCCCGTTATCATCCCAAGCTCCTTAGGGATTCCTCCTGTGAGATTATTTGAGTTGAGATATAGCCACTTGAGCTTTTGGAGCCTTGAGAGTGAGCGAGGGATGGAACCAGAGAATCCACTAGAGGATAAATTCAGATACCACAATCTTGGAACCATCTCAGGCAGTGAATCTGGTAACGGCCCTGAGAAGGCGTTACCCGATAAATCTAGAGACCTCATACTAGGACTAGAGCAGTTGAGGATGAATTGTGGGAAGGTACCATTGAGGTCATTATTAGCTAGAGATAGCAACTTCAAAGTGGACATAGGTGAAAACTTGGCATATTCCGGGTTGGTCAAGTGGTTATTTCCCAAATCTAACTCAACAATCACTGGAAGCTTACTAAGTTGGTAGGGAATGGCACCAGCAAGATTATTATAGCTCAAGTCCAGAACATCAAGGGACATCAACATGGAGATATTGGCTGGGACGACGCCAACAAGGTTGTTGTTGTAAAGATCTAGCAGAGTGAGGTTCTGGAACGCTGCAGAGTAGAAGGCATGAAGCGTACCATGGAGCCTTGCGTTATGAAGTTGGAGCTCGGTAACATGTCCGGCGGCATCACAGGTGACGCTGAACCAAGAGCATGTAGAGTTGGTAATCGACCAAGAGGACAGCAAGTTGGCACCAATCAAAGTGGACTTCCATCGAAGTAGTGCTTCTGCTTCCGGGTTGGTCGCCTTGGCCGTGCATACGAACAGGAAAACGGAAATATGGAAGAATTTCAGCAGCGCCATTGCAGCGGACAGAATGTTGTATGCATTGCCTTTAGAAGTAGCTGCACATGGACCAAAGTTATTATATGGGAAAAAGTGAATATATTTCAGCGTTGTCGCAGTCACTGGGCGGGGTATATGTTCATAAAGAAATCAGATTTGGGGTTACCATGTGAGGAAAATATCAAACCTATCAGTAATGAGAGGCAACACTCTTGGCTATCCCAATTCCTAGCCCCACAGGGGTGTGATTGCAGGTAAAGTCATGGCTGATGACTGAGACTGCTCAGAGTATGTATGTGGTTGTAACCGTCTGCTAACACAAAGCCAACCAGCTGCATTGCTAAAGTCCAACGCTCCAATCAGCCAGTCCATGTCTAGGATTGAATGCCAATTCTTGCCCACATGGAACCTTCAAAAGTCTACAATGAGATAAAAATAAATAGCATAACCCATCTTTGGTTCAGTTCAAGCAATTATGTGGCTGTGAGCTTCTGTACCTAAATCATCCAATTATATGCATATAATTCAGACGCTTATTTCACTAGCACTGGTAGCCAACTGTATCTAGAGGGGGATGACAAATACACGAACTCGTGCGTCGTGCCAGATGCAACAACAGGCTTGCTCGCTTCCCTACTGACGGCATCTTGTAGCAACCTTCAGATTGTCAACTGACCATTAACTTATAAATTTATTTTTGAAAACCAAACACAAAATCTGCAGAAAGGGATGAAAAACAAACACATCTACTCCCCCTCCTTAGGATCCTCCGACTTGATCGCAGCTTGAGGGCGATGAGGTCTCCGGCAGGGGTACGGCCTCCGGCACATGTGGTCACAGCCTCATAGGAGAGAACGATGGTCTGGCTGCCGGAGAGGAGGATGGTGTTGAGCTCATGACCGACTATACAAATACGCCTAAGCAAAGCTCGAAAAAAATACTAACCGCAACCATGAAACATACATAACTGTAACTCACATATTTCAGAGAATCAAAGCCTGATCCAAATTACGTTTCGAAAAAAAAAAGCCTAATACAAATATGTACAAATTTGATCTCTCACATATACTGTAACAAATTATAATTCAATTCTGTCCCATGCTCGCATGAAGAAATACTGTCTGTTGGTAATGATCTAAACGCTCTTATATTTCTTTACGGAGGGAGTACATCTGCATCCACTTCCACTGCATAAAGTAAACAACAGAAAACTTCAAGAAAGCAACATAGTGGGACACAAAGTGCCATGCTGTCAGGTACGCTTCATCTTCAGCATAAACTTCTGCTGCATGGCATCGATGCAACTGAAGAACGTAAACCTCCAGATGCTCCAGAAAAACAATGTTCCAAACCATATCCAGAAACCAAAGACAGTTCCAGCAATCACTGAGTAGTACAGCCACAGGGTTTCAAGTTGATGGTGGCCTTCCTTTGCCCCATCCAGTGCTGTTGTAGAACTCGAACCATTTTTACATGGAATGCTCAGGGGGACACCACATAGTCCCAGGTTGTTGCTATAGATGGAGGGGTCATCCAGTGTTTGTAGCTGATTTCCTGAAGGTATCTCTCCTTGAAGAAGGTTGTTGGAGAGATTAAGAGAGCTGAGGAACATCAGGTGTGATATGCTTGGAGGAATAGGACCTGAGAGCTTGTTCCATGAGAGGTCAAGAGACTCCACATCTTTTAAATTACCAATGTTACTTGGGATAGCACCAGATAAATTATTTCTTGACAGGTTCAGGAACCGAATGGCTCCAAGATTCAACAATTCTGCAGGGATCTCACCAGAAAGGTAGTTGCTTGATAGATCAATACCAGTCATAAGCATAATTTTTCTACTGTAATTATAATCACGCCCCTTCCAGATTATGTCAACCTGGTCACTGTAGTGAGGCAGAAAGCTGTCAACCATCACCATGGGCCCGCTGTTATGTTCCAGTTCTGGCTTTGTCATGATTGTGTAATTAAAGTTAGCAAAACTTACAGGTATGTGACCTGTAAGATTGTTGTCAGCAAGGTCAAGCAACTGGAGATCAGAGAGTTGTGATACCTCGCAAGGAATACTTCCATGAAACATATTTGACCACAGCCGGAGAATTCTTAGCATAGAGAGGCTAGCTCCTATCCATGAAGGAATTTTGCCTGAAAACATATTGCCTCCAAGATCCAAAAATTCCAGGAGTTCTAAGTTCTTCAGAACAGATGGAAAGCAGCCTGTCAAGTTGTTGTTTGATAGATCTACTGAATCTAGTTGAGAAAAGTCAACCGCCGAGGCTGTAACTTCTTCAGCAAAGGCATTGCTTGACAAATCCATGTATGTAACAGAAGGTATGTTCCAAAAACAACCAGGGACCGCTCCAGATATGAGATTCTTCGACAAGTCCAATAGTTTTAGATTAGGTAGCTCACAAAAATTATTGTCGGCGATGCCCGTGAACTTGTTTCCAGACAGGAGTATATCAGTGAGAGGAAGGAGGGACAAGATTCCTGGAATCTCTCCCTCCAAGAGGTTGTTGCTGAGGTCAAGGATTTGTAAATAAGACAAATTACCAAACTCCAATGGTATTGTACCAGTAAGGTTATTACTGGATAGGTCCAGTGCATAAAGGTTGGGGAGATATCCTAGCTCTGCACGGACCTTTCCGATGAGGCAGTTGCCTCGGAGGACCAGTGTGTCTATTACCTCCCACCTAGTGATCTCCGGTGGGATGCTCCCGACCAAGTCGTTGTTTGCCACATCAAAAGTACGGAGCAAGGTCCAGTTTGAGAACCACTCCAATGGGATGCTGCCGCTGAGATGGTGGTTGTTCCCCACTTGAAACGTTTGCATTTTATTCATCCTAGAAAAAGACGGTGGCAACTCTCCAGAGAGTATGTTCCTTGACAGGTCCATGTTTCCCAGATTAGTTAGGTTACTGAGCCCCTTTGGGATTCCTCCAGTAAGATTGTTCTCCTGGAGATAGAGGCTTTCAATCCTTGCAAGTTTGGAGAGCGACTGTGGTATGCACCCGAAGAACATGTTGGAGGATAGATCAATGAGCCTTAAATTTGGTGCTATATCTGGCAGGGTCGTCGGTATCGAACCCGTGAAGGAGTTACTTGATAGGTCAAGTTGTACCAACCAAACGTTGGTACGGTTGAGGATGAACTGTGGAAAGGTGCCATGTAGGTTGTTGCTATTTAGAGATAATAGCGACAAAGTGGGCATAGGCGAGAACTTGGTATGGTCTGGGTTGGTCAAGTGGTTATTTCCCAAATCTAACTCAGCAATCTTTGGGAGATTGCTGAGCTGGTAGGGGATGTCACCAACAAGATTATTCCAGCTCAAATCCAGACTTGTGAGGGTGAGAAACAAAGAGATATTTACCGGGATGACACCGAAAATGTTATTGTAGTAGAGATCAATCCCTGTGAGGTTCTGGAATGCAGGAGAGTATAAGGCATCTAGTGTACCTTTGAGGTCGCATGCAGGAAGACGGAGCAGAGTAACATGACCGGCTGCATCACAGGTGACGCCGTGCCAATAGCAGGTCGGATTGGCATGCGACCATGAGGACAGAGAGGTGGAGTTGAGCAAAGTGGATTTCCATCGGAGGAGCGCTTCTCCTTCAGGGCTGATTGCACTGGCCATGCATAGCAGCAACAGCAGGAGAGGAGAAGTAGCCGAGACAAACAGAAGATTTTTGAGTTGGGATGCCATCGCCAAACTAGATGAACTGCACGCTTGTTTTGCCTCCACGAACTAGG